GACTTCTATGAGAACGTCCCGGGAAATCCAACTCCAGCTGTGATCAAGGTCATCCAGCTGTTTAAACAATGACTCATCAGCGTCAGATTTCACAGAAAGACAAGACAAAGGAAAATAAAATCTGAAGCTTTTACTTCAGAATTAACACATTTCTTTTGTGTTTTCAGTTTTAAGTATTTTTTATGTTTAATTACATTAATATCAAAAATTGCTAGAGTCCCAAGGAGTTAACTGCTTTCCCTATGACTTTTTCTCAAGAAAAAACTTTTCTAAATCATTTATTTTATCATTAGGTATTATTATAATAATAGACAGATGTCATCGTTTCTCAAAATACAATATCTTTTTTATTTCGCTGTCGATAGCCCGACACGTGTTCCGCAGCCATCTTGTATTTTCTCACGCGCGTGGGATTGTGGGATCTCTCGTATGACTGGACCTAGTTTCAAGAACTCTCTTGAAACTAGGGATCTCTCTAGAAACGCAATTAAATCTCGTTTCAGTCAAGATTGAAACGGTCGATGGAGGTTGCACCATGGCTAACGAGGTGTAAGGCTGTAGTTTAGTAGTGTTACAGAGTATAATACGTATTTTTTAATATATTTTTTAAAAGAAACAAAACCACTTAGAAATGTTACGTGTCTTTAACAACGGGTTCGGAAAACTTTGAAAATGTTAACAACAGGTTCGGCCGAACCTGTGCGAACCCGCTGAATATCACCACTGGTTGTGTCGAGCCTGGCCACTCGACACCCGGCAGCTTCAATTGCAGATCTAAAATAACTGTTATGAACGCGAAGAAAGATATTCGTGCGCGCGAGATGTTAAAACTTCAAACTTCACAGTAGGATTTTTTCGGGCATGATCTCACCGGATATATCGGGCCTCCGTCTCTTACCACCCGCTCGCCCCATTGTGGGCCTGGCCGAACTCATATCGGGCTTGCTAAAAACAGGACTTCTTGGTGCCCACAGGTAGGAAAGAGTTAAAGCCCCGACTCCCGTCGGGATATCTTCCCTTTCGGTCGCAGCGAGAGACGATATAGCATCCCGACTCCCGTCGGAACATCGGGGCCACCCCGTTCAGCGCAGCGAGGGTCCATATTAAAGCCCCGACACCGGTAGCGATAGTACTCTATTTAAACTATAAAGTAAAATAAAATGACTTACGTTATTAATTGTATTCTGATCTTTCTCGAATTTGCTAATTTTGTAGCAACTTTGTCCATATTTTGCTGCCGTCATTTTCGAAGTCCTCGGAAATTTGTTTTCATTGGAATTTTTCATTTCTGTTGTGGGTTTTCGTTTTGTTTCTTTCTTTATTATTTTTTTTCTTCTAAACTTTTCAAAAAGACATAAAATTTAATAATTTTAATTAATGGAAGATTTTGAAGAACGATTCGACGAGGACGAGTTCAACAATGATTTAATTTCATTGCTGATCTGTTAACAATTGTTTAAATATTGCATTGTTGTAATGACGTCACGAATGACGTCGATCGGCGTTTAGTCTTTTAAGAAAAAAGTAGCTTAACGTACAGTACTTGTCGCATTTAAGACAAAGCCTTTCTTCGGAATCATCTTTTAAGAAAATATTACATTGTTGAGACGACTATTTTTAAACGATTAAACGTTTAAATCCTTAACTTCATATCTCGATTAATCAATCATCTTTTGAAACTCTTTTGTATTTCTTTTCTTCAAACAATAAAACATCTTCGGTACCAACAAGGAACATTACTTCATAAATGACTTTATAATAATCTTGAGTTTCATAGCACCCAAATTTTACCCGATCACACATACAATTTTCTCTTCTGGTGTGCAAGACCCACTGATCTCCAAACAAGTTTTTGGGGAAAGATTGCATATACATCGATAAATATTGTATAAAATTTATTATGCATGTAATTTAAGTTCGTCAAACACACCACATACGATAACTATGGTACACCTATCTTTTTTTTTCAATTTGTTTTTTAATTTTTTAATTGTGTTATTGTTAAAAAGTCTAGCAACGGGTTATGCAACTTTCCCGCTGTCACGACATTTTATTTTAAAAAATAACTTTTATATTATTAATCATAATAAATAAATAAAATTGTTTCACCCCATTCGTTACGAGATTTTATTACAAACACTTTATATTTTAATTATTATAAAATGACAGTAAATACTTCATTTTGGAGGTAGAAGAAACACGTTTCATAAAAATTTGTAAATGCCTTCGAACCAGATCAAACATGAAATAAATTTCATTTTATTTTATTTCGTACAATTTTTCGCCTAAGGACCAAATACACTTTATCAACGTAGACCATAATGCAAAAAAATCGAATTTTGTTTAAAATCCAATTTTTAATTCAGAGAGTCGTAACATTAAAAAAACAGATCTATGTCAAAGTAAAATTTCCCCCAAAACTTCTGCCATTTAGGGAAGTTTTGAGGCACTCTTGTCATTCTATCAAATTCATCGTCCGAAACGTAACAATGCGCTTCTTTTTTCAGAAAAATTTCATCTCTCATCCTTAACTCTTCGTTCTGAACATCGACTTTGAATAAAGAATTAGACTTCGCCTTCAGGAACAGCGGTTTGGATAAGATTACTTTAGCGAAATAGTCGATAGGAAGATTAGTCCTTTCCTCACTCGATGCAAGAAATCGGGTGAGAATAACGTTTTCTCGTGGCATGTACTTGAAATATATCGGAAGACTCAGACAAGTAACAAAACAGTCTTCTTCTACCCAAACTTGGCAGAAGAACGTGCTAAATTTTGGCAACGGTCTGTCTTCAGTAAATTCTAAATTTCTCCGATAGTTATACGTAAATAGAGAAAATTGAGATTGGTATCTTCTATCTCGAGTATTTTGACAAACAGCGTTGCCACAACTCCACTGCCGTTCACTATCGTCAAACATTCTCAACCCTTCTACTTCTTCGTCGCTCAATAGGTTTTTGTTGAATACTTCATTCTCTAATTGAAAGCGCGACATAGTCGCAAATCGAATTAAATGGAAGAAGGGCTGCATGGTCCTTCGATACAGCTCTCTGTTTTCGATCGAAGTGGACGCTTCCTGTAAATTGCTCCGAGAAATTCGTCTGGTCGTCCAATTATATATATTCAAGAAGAGGGAAACTTCGTTCGTATTACTGTAAATTGGACGGGAGAGGAACCTCGATACGGTCGATTCTTCGCAGTTTAAGAAGTCTTCACTCTCCAATACTTCGTCGGTAGACGAGGTAAACAGCTTCCAACAATGAAATTGCACGAAGAGATCTTCGTGTTTGCAGGCGAAATCGTGAATGAAGCAAACGTTGCCTACTTTCATTTCTTCGATCAGGAAATCCCGGCAGCGATCCACCAAATTTACGATACCGATTTTTTCACTTATTTCGTAAATGTCCGTGGCATCTTTGATAGACAGGAATTCAATTTCTCCGTCTGTTATAAACCTTGCGAAGGAATATTTATGTAATTGCACGGAAATTGAGGTTTAACTAATTCTATTTTAACACTTACTCGATCACTCGATTCATGATACCAGACGTAACGTTCACGCGGAGGCAACTCTGCCCTAGTGTGGGATCCATAATCAGTTCCGAATTGAACCCGGGACAATTCTGAATTAGAAAGAATCTATTCAATCGAATTTTGTATCCGTCCGAGCAATAAATATTTATCTGTTCCGATTCTCTTTCCATATTAAACGATTTAGTATGTGGGCATTAACGGATACAAAAAAGGTAGTATTGTTGTAGAATTTCTATTGTCTCTTGTATTGTTTAATTTTTGAAGTATTGTAATATGTGCATTTCCCTAATTATTATTTTTTCCGATAAATTAAATTGGCAATTATGCAGTTAGTTATGGGAGGGAATAATATAGGCGCAAACTCGTTCAAAATACACGCAAGAGAGTAAAGCGTTGCCCTGCCATTACACGAATTATTTCCTAAGAGATTATAAATTATGCAAAGAAAATTATTGGAAAGTATTTAAAGCCTGGTAAACAGAGATTAAATTACACGACATTCTTAGTTATTCGGGAAATTTATATAAGAGCTTTAATATTTTTAATATTACGTGACCGATTCAGTTCTTCTATGTCGTGTACGTAACACAGTTATAAGATTAAAAACGCTTTATGTGAATGAAGAAAAGAACGTATCGGATAGAGTAAATGGTAGCCTATTTGTAAACCTACCATTTATACTTTCAGATACTTTCAAGTTTTTCCAGTATTTACATAGATGACTTTTTAGTAAAATCTTGTGGATTAAAAAAAAAAAGTCATTGTGCCTAAACGACGAATTTAATGAAGTTCTACCAATTCAAACTTTTTAAAAGGCTAATATCTAATAAACGTTTTAAATTTATAATATCTAAATATTAGAAAATGCAATCATTTTTTCTGTTCGATGTATAAAATTCGGTTTGTTGGGATACGGCAATGCAATACAACACATGGGCGATCTGCCAAGGAAGGTCTCTCTCCCGAGAGGAATCTCTGAAAAATTGGCCCTTGTTTAGGTTTTAGACACGTGAGGAACCCGGAAAACTCCACATGGCCAACCCGTTAATAAGCACGAACCTTCGACTAAATTGTTCAGTAGTTTTATCCAACGAACTTGAATATACTATATAGATAAGATCTAAAAAATAGCTAAAGAAGGTAAGATCAGAGTTTAAAGTGGTAAGTGTAGTATTTAACCCTCAATATAACGTTTTTATAACCTAAGTACGAGGCAGAGGCAGGTCTTGAAAGGCTTTACTCTCGGCCATATGATTGATTGTTTATAGTGTACTCAGGTCAGTCTAATCAGCATCATACACATTATATATTTTTTTTCTTTTGCAGAATATTAGTGTTCTTGTACTTTTATTATAGTTTGTGAAAATTTTGGTTTTAACTTGTGAATATATTTTCAATGAAACACTACATTTTGACCTTTGTCATGTTATGAACTACATTGGTGAAGTTAAATCCTTCTAACTTGTAAGAGGTAATAAGGTGCTAATAATTGTGGGAAAGGGAAGTAGTATTGCATTTTTTCATCAAAAATAGACAAAGAAAACATGCAAGTAAGTAGAAGAGACTGTAGAAACTGCACCATTAGGATGTGTACAAATTGTGCACTATATGCATCATTCTGGATAACAAAAGTATATTAAAACAAACTAACCTTTTGTTCGTTATGTTGTAGACAACAACCTGAACAACACTGAAGTCGAGAGCCTGAAGAGGGATTAGAAAATTACCAATCCGAAATGCATTGTTAAATAAGCGAAATAAAGTGAACTATTTTAATCTTGGTCTCTATTAATTTCAGATAATTAAGAAAGACGTGATAAATACCACTAGTCTCACTATTATAAAACTTAATTTTGAGGTTAGTGACAAGTTTTAAAAAATTGTAAATGTTATAACGAATATCATCACCACCAAGTCTGGAGATATGATACATGACAACCTCTATCTCCCCACCCCTTTGATATTAATTAAGGAGCTATGATACTATTAAATAATAAGAAGTATTGATGATATTAAATTAATAAGGATCAATAAATTTGATTGTAAAAAATATATTTTCTACATTCATTCATTATTTATTTATTTATTTATTAAAATAAATTATATTGTATTGTATATATTAGAAATAAATATTGTAATAAATAATAAATTCTTTATTAAAGGGCATTTAGATATGTGTTTGGTTAGCACAATGTTGCTGTTGAGAACGTATCATACAGGAACACTTTAAGAGGAAAAAGGTTGCTTTATTGACTTGGACGGATATGCATTTCGGGCTTAATGCCCCTCTTCAGTCCTATTATTATTACATAATTATCAAATTGGTTACAGGTATCAAAATTTACAGAATTCATTTAAAAAATTAGTATACGCGTACAGTGATTTATATGATAAAATACAATTACCTGAGATAGTGACCATTAAGCTGGTATTACACATAAGATATATATACACATATTTAAACACGGGAGGAGGAATGAGCAAATAGTGCTATCAGATCAATATACATGCACCTGAGGATAGTATAATGTGTGTTAAAATAAAAAGTGGTATGCACAAAACTAAAAAAGTGTATATTAAAAAGGTGTAAATTATGAAAAATTAACGGAATACCTGTAGGATGTGACAAATACAGAAGAGATGTGTAGAGGACAGGTCTGATGGAAGATGTTACAAAGAAGTGAGGGATCCTTGTAACATATACAGAGGTTGGTGGGAATTGCACAGTGGGGGTTAAGGTGGGAGGATGGTANCCACTTTTTATTTTAACACACATTATACTATCCTCAGGTGCATGTATATTGATCTGATAGCACTATTTGCTCATTCCTCCTCCCGTGTTTAAATATGTGTATATATATCTTATGTGTAATACCAGCTTAATGGTCACTATCTCAGGTAATTGTATTTTATCATATAAATCACTGTACGCGTATACTAATTTTTTAAATGAATTCTGTAAATTTTGATACCTGTAACCAATTTGATAATTATGTAATAATAATAGGACTGAAGAGGGGCATTAAGCCCGAAATGCATATCCGTCCAAGTCAATAAAGCAACCTTTTTCCTCTTAAAGTGTTCCTGTATGATACGTTCTCAACAGCAACATTGTGCTAACCAAACACATATAATAGAGAACAACAAGCAACCTTGATTCAAGGCATTTAGATAAATTATTTTTCGTTTTATTGTGTGTATTAAGTGTGCAATGTTGTATGGATCTGAATGTTTGGAATGAAAAAAAAATCTCAGGTATAAAGCATGTAGCAGAAATAATTTACTCAGGTGATAGGATTAGGAATGAGCATATAAGAGATATTTTAGGAGTAAGGGACATTAGAAAGAAGCTTATGAATTAAAGAAATAGAGATAGGTCAAAGAAAAGTTGGAAATTAGCAATTAGGAGATTTAAAGGTGGTTACAGTTAAATGAGAAAATAGCTCAAAATAAAATAGTTTGGAAAACTACACGTCAAGATCCGACCCCTACTGTAAGAGAGACGATGATGATGACAATGTATTCATAATTTAATAATAATTTTAGCGCTAAGTTATATGTATGTTAAAGATTTTTCTTTTTAAAAATGTGAAAATGATTATACAGTAATTATAAAGAACCAGAAAAACAAGAAATTTAATCTTACTTTGCAGTCTAAAATGGAGTTACTTAATATTCTACAAAATAATAGCAAATGAATGAATATAACTGTTCATGTTGTTAATAATAATAACTATAAAATAACAGAGATCATAATATGATATTCATTCGAGTACATAATAATTGACTATTATAGAAATCAATACTAAATTCTAGATTTTTTTTAAATGTTGAAAATACAGTAATTATAAAGAACCAGAAAAATAAGAAATTTAATCTTACTTTGCAGTCTAAAATGGAGTTACTTAATATTCTATAAAATAATAGCAAATGAATGAATAACTGTTCATGTTGTTAATAATAATAACTATAAAATAACAGAAATCTATATANTAATAAAAAATTTATCAATTTGTTGAAAATTAATATTTATAACAGCCTCGAGCAGTTTAATAAACGATTATTAAAATCAATGCAAAGCTCTATTAAGAAAATATAAAATAATTTGATTATGGCTGGCTTATCATCATGTCATGGTAACCATTCATGTAGAGGATGATCAAGAAGTCATTGTACATCTACAGATAACGGCTGAAATACCCTTTCATCTTTACTTATTGTTACAGAATATGTTGAAAATGGCCCTCATGTAATTTACAAACAGCATTTACATGTTTGCAAACATTCTTTACAGATCAATAGAAGTAATGTTGCGAAGGATACCTAATTCAGAGAGTATGCGAGGATTGCTTTATAAATTGCATCCTATAGATAATACTCAGACTCTGAGTATGTCATGTTTAGTCATTAATGTAAAATTAATACCAGAAAATCGCCAATGTTTATTAAACTTTGTATTATCTGACTGATCTCTCTGTGCCCAAACTTTTTAAAAAATCAATCAAGTCATTATTAAAATGATTCAACCTATTTGAACGCAACCAGTGGTATAGAAAGGCAGGAATTTGAAATTGAATTTTGTCTGGATTTTGGCATCGCACTGTGTAAATATATATACTGTATATCTTACAGCCAATATCTAAAATCTAGCCAATTTGTGAAATGGCTGGCCACTTCTAGCTTTGGCCAGGTTATGTGACCAAAGCCCAAAATACATGAGGATTTACTATTACTTTAAGCTTTGGCTGGCCAATTCATAATGTGCCCAACAATCAATGGTCAGTTCAAGAAATGCCCAAGAAAGTGTAATTTATGAAAATATCTTTATAATGTTTGGTGTGTAAATACTTTAACAATTGACAAATATAATAGACATATTAAAGTTCGATAATATTTTTGTGAATTTGATTATTTCAGGATCAAAATAATTTTTCCACAACAATTACAAAATATTCCATACTTTTGTTCAAGTTGTATTGCTCGTTCAATTAAAGTATAGTGCACTCTTGCTAATCTGAAATAATTATTATACAGGGTTACTGTATTCAGATTAGTGAAAGTTTGGATTAACAGGGTACTACATAAAAGAAAGCAACGGAAAAGCCAACTGGTATATATTTATAAAACAATTTTTACACTACTTTGTATATATAGTTTATTTGTGTTAAAATGTTTTTAAAAAATAATCTAAAGTTTGTTTTTGACTGGAAAAAATTTAGTGACATAACCAACAAAATTGGTTCTGATTAGTGAGAATGCATTGTATAATTTCAAAATAATTCTAAATTTATTTAACATTTTAGATGAAATCAAAAGTTTAGGTTAATCTATTTCTAGAATTTTTTCTGATGGATTAATACTAGGGTTTCTCATTTCCCGGTCTTTTGCTTGTCCCGGGATCCCGGGATAAAAGTGAACTATAATAATATCATTTGATTTCAAGATATTTTGTATATCTTTGAATCAATTTGTATATCAATGAAATATCATTTGATTTCAAGATATTTTGTATATCTTAGAAATAATTAATTCTATCCCGGGATTTCCCGGGATCCCGGGATAGAATTAATTATTTCTAAGATATACAAAATATCTTGAAATCAAATGATATAATTATTTTCCATTTTTTAAAGTAATTTTAAAGTTCTGTAACCTCCAAAATCATATTAATAATGCTGTGTAAGGTCTATAGGCCTATAATAAAAATTACCTTTAAATAACGTAGAAATTTTCACAAATAGAAAAAAATTAATTAAAGTTTGCTGGAAACTGCATACAACAACAAAAAAAAAAATGTTTTGAATTGAGTTAAAAATTAAAAAAATGAACTTCTAATTTAGAAGGTAATTTTCGTTTTTTAAATAAAATATAATACAAAATATTGCAAACTTTTATAAGATTTTAAAAAGCAAAGATGGTCAATACTCCGATAACTCACTCTAATTCTTATTTTAGTAATGAAAAGTCTTGCCACCGAGAATGCCCTTTCCGATTCAATTGATGTGATTGGAATAGTGTTTAATGCATTTAAGAGAAGACAGATATTATGTGTTTTTTCACCTGTAGCCTGGAAGATTTCGAGTTCGTTTTCGAGATTGTAGTACTTCTTTCGCTCTCTAGTATTCTTGATTTGTCTACCTTGGCTGCTTTAATAGCGGCATCAAGCTTAGAGCTCGATAATTCGGCAATTCATTTGGCTTTAATAATCAGGTTTATGAAGAAAAACTTCATACTTGCAGACTTTGTACTCGTTTGTATCCTTGCCCAATTTGCACAATCTGGCGTCAGGCATTTATTGAAGCTACTGGGCATGGTTAAAACTCAAGACAGCGTAAGCACAATTATTCCAGATATTACAGGTTCCGACAAGTAAAGAATTTTTATAGTCCTGCCACAAATAAGCTATATATTGATTATTGACCATTTGTGACATGCTATAACGAGCAAAAATTTAAAAAAAACTAATAGGTAGGTTTAAAATTAATAAATACAAATGTATTCTGACAGTGAATGAGTTAATTATGCTTTCTATTTGCAAAATTCCTCAACCTTAACACAAAATAAGAAAAAAAGTGAATTTTTAAGAAATTTGCGGGATTTCCCGGGATATTTCCCGGGTTAAAAAAACAACCGGGATCCCGGAATCCCGTTTGAGAAACCCTAATTAATACTATTCATCTGACAACACAGTTATTTTAAAGTATGAAAATTTAATTGAAATTTTATTTTCTAATAAATTGAATACATTTCAAAATTATCAAAATAAATTTATAATTTGTTATTTTCTAAACATGTTTATTAAAGGAAAATTGTTGGAATATGTTGAGATTTTACAAAATTTTGTAAACGTGTAAATGAAATGTGTGTGATTTTACAAAATTTTGTAAAATCACACACACGTTTCATTTATCTTTTGAACTAATTAAACAAATTTTTTCTTCCTCTTATTTAGAGGGTTTTACTTTTGTCACTTTCATTTGCTTAATTGGTCCATTTTTTTGTTCCACGCAATACAATCCAAATTCTTTTGCCATATCTTTCATGCAAGCAATTTCTGAAGATGAAAAACCACTACCAAAAGGAAATTCTTGTTCATTATCATCATCTATAAATTTTTTCATACAATCTGCAACTATAGTTTTAAAATCATCACTAACTTCATAATTGAATGTTGGTTTTTCATCATCATCATCATCATCATCATCTTTTTTGTTACTACTTTTGAAGATGTTTTTACAAAATTTCTTCTCTAAAATTGAATATCTTACTTCTTGGATACTTAATTGTTTCAATTCTTCATTTATTACCTCATTAGATGGATTGCATTCTCTTGCTCTTTGAAGATATTTTTTAGATTCGGCATATTCTCCCAAATTCCGAAGTGCTTTACCGCATAGATAATTTCCTTTTGTATTCTTTGGATCAATATTTAAAGCCTTTTTTGCATATATAACAGCAAATTTATAATCTTGTTGCTTTATGTAACATAAACTGATATTACAATAGAGTTCAAGAAGGTAATCATTTCTTTCATTATCTTCTTCTTCATTTGCAACATTAATATCTTCTATTAGTCTGACTGCTTTTTTATACTTATTCCAAGCACTAGGATAAAGTTTTCGCTTAAAATAATCATTTGCAACTTCATGTTCTGATCTGACAACTTTTAATCTTTCACTAAAAGATAATTGTTTTTTCTCTTCAGGTGAAAGTTCATCATATTCAATAGCTGGAGCATTATTTAAAAAACTCAAAAGTTCAACTTCATATAAAATTGTTGCACTTGGAGGAATTCTTGGAGGGCTTCCCATTTCTCCATATGCATACAAATATTTTATTAAGAACTGTGATATTTCTCCTTTTTTCATTGTAGCCACTGCAATATCTAACCCTTCAACGACTCTATTTTCACCTAATCTATATGGAAAATAAAATATTAATCGAACAACATTAAACCTGAAGAGAAATAAATACAAAATGAAATATATTATTTATGTAGCAGCTTGAGAAATTACTACATCTCCAAATTTATTATTATTTATAATTTATACAGTAGTGTCTGAAGCTATTTGGAAACTAATTTCAAGATTATCATCTGGTAAATAATTTCTACTGTCAACACTACCATTATCTTATTCCAAAAACAATGCCATATATGCGAGAAGAAATTCAACCAGGCCATAAGAACAAATGTTTGTTCTTATGGATTAAAACTGCTAGAAACAAAGTGTGAAAGGTTTTGTCTTTCTTATCTTAAGTAGTTCTAGCTTTGCATGCATGGAAGTTCAACCAGGTCAAATATTTAAATAACAAACATTTTATGAAAATGAAAACAAAGATATATACATCCAATACTATTTTTATACAGACTTTCTTATGTGATCTGAAAAAAAATCAGTTCACTTTTAACACAATTTATTTTAATCTAGCATGTTTCAATAAATTTGTCTTTTAAAAAATCTTCATTTAATTTTAATTCTAAAAAAACTATTTATACTTCCTTTTAAAAAAATATTGCTCTTAAAAATTTCCTAGAATTTTCATTAAAAAAAACTGTCCTATGGGCATTAACAGAGCTTTTTTTGTACCCATTATGAATTCAGATAGGCCTACAATGGGGTGACCAAATGGTGAGGAACATGGTTGACTGGACTGGGATGGGATGGGATTGACTAGAGAACTTACACATTGTCAGATCTCTGATTATATAGGTTAAATCCTATTGACTGACTGCTGACCTTGGTTATACGGATATCCTTACTTAATGTGGTTTTGCTTAACATGCAAAATTAATTGCAGCAGTCTCTTTATATAGGCAGCAGAAGTTTTAATTAACATAGTTTTACCAGCTGTCTTTACTTAAACAGATACCATATTTGATTAACACAATTTTGATACACACGGTAGCATTGAGGGATTAATTAACCACGTTAATAAAGGGATACCTATAGAACTGAAATTATAACAGCTTCCAATCCCAAATTCTTATACAAATCAAAGAAAACTAACTGAACATCACTTGCAGAATTGGTTACTAAATGGAATATAGTCACTGGTAAATAAAAACCATATAAATCTTTTCATCATAACTGCCTTAACTGTACTGTACAACAAAGTTCCCAGCATTCATTACAGTACAGGGTTGCATGAGTGCTCAAGAAAGGTGTCAGTGCTCTGCACTTTATCAATGGAACAGTGAATGAAGAATATCAAAAGATCCTTCAAGACAACATTCTTTTATACTTGGAAAAACTGCAGAATCCAGATATAATTTTTTAACAAGATGGAGAAGTTGTCATTCTGCTAAAACTAGGGCATGGCTTACAAATTACAATATTAGTGTTGAGTTAGCCACCTAGCAATCCTTTCTTCTATTGAAAATCTATGGGGAGCATGAAAATGTTCTATAGAAAAGATCTCAAAGGACAGTGACTGGATTAGGCCAAAAAGTCCAGGAAATATGAATGAACATTAGGCTTTATTAATACAATGTGTGAACATGTAAATGCAATCTTACTGGCAAAAGTAATGTAACCAGATACTAATTACTAGTGCAAGAGGTATTTTCCATCAATGCTAGAGATGTCTTTAGTTTTTATTTTTTGGGTCATTTATGCTTCCTTCAGATATTTATTTCTAAAAATTCAAATGCTTGCATAAATTTTAAATTGTGCTATTTATGCTCCCAAATGTCACAGTTTAACTCAGTCAATGAATTTGTTTACAAAAAATTTTTTCTCCTCTTTCCTTTTACTGTGTTCAAAATACAACAGTTTAAAATCAAGAAGTGTCTAAGATATTTTTTAAATAAATTGTACAACTTAAAAAATTTCTAACAGAATAATGTGACCAGTCTAATTTGTGAAAAATTGTGTAAGAAATCCATTGGTTAAATTTTGAGATTTCTTTATTCATTTTGAAGTTATCATATGTTAAATGTTCCACAGGATGCTTTCATGTGCATTTTCTTTCACTTTTTTTTAAATCAATGCAACCTGCAATGTTACAATGATGAATGCCATTGCTTTTGACAAAGAAAAGAATCAACACCATTCTTTATGCACTGTAGATAAACTTACAAAAAATTGGTGTAATCTTCAACCATCACTCAAAATCATTAGTGGCTGATGGTTAAAAACCACTGACAGTGGTCCCATGCCTAATCCACAAGCTGGCTGAACAGTTTTTTTTTCATATTTTTAACACCTAAATAGGGGTGTTCCCCCATAGAAAGTCCTCTCAGAATGCATTCACATGGTGATTGTCCTTGTGTTGTATTGCCTTATTACACCATACAACAATCTATCACCTGCAATACAGTGGCAAAACTTGTTAAGAACTTTCAAGAAACAGAAAATATTCACAGGGAAAAAGAAGCAGGATTCAGAGATAGCAAAGCCATCACTATAACACTGAATGACAAAAATACTTTGATAACAGCATGCACATAGAATCATTCTATGGAACATGATTTATTTTGAAAGTATCACACATTGAAAGAGATTTCAAAACAGATTTACTATTAAATTTCACAATTTTTCTACAGTTAGACTGGCCACATCATCTATTTAATATCAAAATTTTTAAGTTGTATTCAAGATGACAGTTTTCAATATGGCTTTAAGATTGAGCAATATATATACCCAGGTACACCTATTAGTCTAATATATACTATAATGAAGAAGATTAGATTCATCTAACATTAAGTTTCTTAAAGATATTTTTAGATAATTCCTGATTTTAGAATTACTCCATGAATTATGAATATTTTTCTGAAATATGTATTTAAGTTTTAATCTTTCAGTCTCTCTCTCAATATATATAAATATATATATAGACTGGCTTTT